CTCTGTTCTGACGACTGCCTCCTGGTCCAAGTATAGGTTTCGCATTAGCATGATCAGGTTTTCTGGGTGGGATTCCCATTCTTCTTAGAGTCAGCCACAGTTTGTTATGACCCACACAGTCAAATGCCTTTGCATAATCAATGAAACACAGATAGACATTCCTCTGGTATTACCTACTTTCAGCTAAGATCCATCTAACACTAGCTACAATATCCCTAGTACCATGACCCCTTCTAAACCCAGCCGGCACTTCTGGCAGTTCTCTGTTCCATATTAGAGTTGAATAATATTTAACCCATTAGATGTTTTATAGTGATTTGAGTGAAAGCTTCCCAAGCAAATTGATTTTCCACTACATAACTAACTAACCTCTAAGAAATTTATTTTAGCCGTTTCTTGGTGTGCATAGTTTGAATGTTCTATGTAGTTTTCCAGTAAGCTGGATTTAAAAAAAAAAAATAATAGTTCTTTAGTTTCTTAAATAAAATAGGAAGTTTTTTTAAAAAAAATTCTGATTTCACAAAACATGCAAGTATTGAATGCAGTAATCCTAATATAAAATGAGTCCCAGGGTGGTACAAAGAATTAATGGGTTTGACTACCAACTGGAAGAATGGAGATTCAATGCTACCCTGAGGCATCTTGGAAGAAAAGATTTATTTCTGAAAAATCAGTCCTTGAAAATGGAGCACAGAGTCACCTTGAGTTAGATTTGGCTCTGGCCACAAGTATAAAAAGAAGCAGATTATTTAAACCAAGGATCAAACTGCTGTTTCCTGACTCACACGTTGGTAATTGTTTACAGCAGAAGCCCACTTTCAAGCTTTTCTGTTCTCAATCCAGTTCTTTGCTCTTATTGCTATCTTAATGCCACACAGCTTTTATTAACATGTGACCCATTGTTGGGGAATATCTTTTACATGTTTATCTTCTCATTGGCAGGGATGGAGGGCTGAAGAGAGCCAAGGTGAAGGACACCTTTAAGGAAGAACAGCAGAAGAATTATAGCAAGATGATTGTGAGCAATGGGTCTCTCAACAACACACAGTTGCACTGAACACCACCCTGTGGCTTCCTGGAAGTAGCCAACAGAAATGGAATGTTAATTTTGAGTTTTGTTTTAGTTTTTTTTTACTGTTAATCTTTTCTAAAGGATGATTATGTCTACCTCTAGATGCTGACGCAGAACCCACCAGTGCCCTTTAAAGGCTTTTGTTGTTTTTATAATGTTAGCTCCATGGATTGAAACAGACTTTTGCCTTTTGTAAAATGACAAGTCACTGTTAATGGAATGAAACATTTATGCAGGAAAAACAGTATGTCTAAAGTGTGTTTGGAACACTTGAATATGGAAATGATAAAAAATCCTTTTCATAATTAGCTTCGCATTTCCTGCCCCCACTGCTTAGATCACATAAGAACTAGAAAGACACGTCTGTTTGAAGTACAGTTAAATTCTGCTGCAAAGCTGAAAGGAAATATGAAAAAGATTAGAGGGAGGGAGGGAGGTCTTAGTGACTTAGTCCTTAAGAAAGTGTGCTGTTAACCCAAAGGCCGCACCTCTCTGATGGTTAGAATCCACAAGTGGCTCCCAGAGCAAAAGAATTGGCAATCTCTTATGCAATTTGTCCCCTTAGAAACCTGCAGGAGATCCAGTTATGAGTTGGTTCCCACTCAAATGGCAGTGGGAGTGATCTTTAAGAGCAATAGCAATTTTACTACCACTTGATCCAAAAGTGGAAAGGAAATGTCAATATCTTTTCTTAGTATGTTGAAAGAGATAGTTTGTTAAGCTTCACCAAAGAAAAATGAGTTGGGTGTGTGTGTGTGTGTGTGTGTGTGTGTGTGTGTGTGTCTGTCTGTCTGTCTAGTGCTTAAGTGCATTTGCATTAAATGTAGGCAACTCATGACTAAACCCACTTTAGACAGTAATTAGAGATGAACACATTTTGGACAACCACTAGTGTTCCTTAGTTGTATACAAAGATTTTTATCAACTTTTCCTTCCAGCTACTGCTTTGTTTGGGGTGTTTGTTTGTTTGTTTGTTTTAAGTGAAACATGTTTTCAAATCAGAGGATCCTTTAACAATAAGTCACTTTGAGTGTCTTCAGTGGGAGTATGAATGACTGAGTGGTGGTGCTGCCTTTCCCCTGGCTACCCCTTTGTTGTTTGTTCCAGAACTTTCAGTCTCTTAAACAGAAAAATATGTGATAAAGTTAACTGTGATAAAGTTAACTTTTGGAAACTGAGCCTTAAATTTTTTAAAGGGAGAAATAAGCATTTCCCAACTCGTACGACATAGCAATGTTTGACAGCAATATAATGCCATCTTAAACCTGAGAGTATTAGATATCTCTGGTCACCGTGTACACAATGTGAAACTGTCTAATGGTGAATAGAAATAAATTCTATATTTATAAATGTGTGTTGCATTATTTAAACTTCCCCCTTTAACTTCTTCTGGTTGTAAATAAGTTAAATTCTTTCTAACATTTGTTTTTCATTTCAAGGGCATAGTTAGATTTTACTGAACTAGAACACCTTGAGGGATGAGAACCTAAAGCCTTGGTTTTTTGTTTTGTTTTAATTTTTTTATCTAGTCGAGTTCTCTGGACTCTGGCTCTGTGGACTCCACCCTGAACAAAGTCTCAGACTTTGCTGGTGAATTGGCAAAACTATAATTGAGTTATAGTTAGGCCTGACATAACACTATCAGCTATCAAGGGCATATTATTCTTATCACACTAGATAGCTTTGACCCTCAACAACAGTTTGCAAATGAGTTATCCTGCTGTTAACTATGTTCTGAACTCACATATCTACCCCCCCTTCCCTTTAATGTTGCTTTAAACTTTGACCCAAAACTCTATTGAGGGTGAGCTTGACCTAAAACCAGGATATTTAAATATGAGTACAGCCTTCTGTATGGATGTGACTTTATCATAAAACAAAAATCTTTACACCTAGAGCAATTAGCAACATTATGATACTGATTTTTCTTGGATTCATAATCAACCCCCATAGTAGCAACAGTCAAGAAATTAAAATATTTATTCCATTGGACAATTCTGTTGCCAAGACACTTTTTTTTAAATTGCGAAGAAGCAAAGATTTCACTTGAAAAGATTAAAATGTGCCTGACGCAAACCATAGTATTTTCAATTGCTTCATATGCATTCAATACCTGGAAAAAAATAAGGCAGCCTGAAGAATTGGTGCCTTTGAATTATAACATCAGTGAAGAATACACATTTTGTGATGGATTTCCAGAAGAACAAGGAACCACTAACTGGAAAGTCAGCAGTTGTCAGATGAAGCCTCAAGAATCCTTGCCTCCAAGGAGCTGCCCGATTTAATCCTCTCTAGGATGAACCTGTTTGCTTTCTTAACAGTCCATGGTACCCTCAGTACTCTTCTCCAGCACCACAGCTCAAAGGCATCATTTCTCCTTCTATCCTCCCTAGTCAAGTGATTGCATAGACCATGGTCTGTATCAGACACACCTTAGTCTCCAGAGAGATGCTATTGTTCTTCAGTACTTTGGAGAGTCCCTAAGAGCAGACTTTCCCATCACAATACATTTTTTAATTTCCTGGCTACTGTGCTAAGAGTGTTGACTGTAGAGCCAAGTAAACTAAAGCTGTGAACAATCTCAATCTCTTCACCATCCATCCTGATGTTACCAATTGGTGCAGTGGTGAGAATCTTTATCTTGATATTGAGCCTCAATTCATATTGAAGGTTGCAGTCCTTGACCCTCTGCAGCAAGCGCTTCAGGCCTCCTCAGTTTCAGTAAGCA